GTCAAGAGACCGACATCAACTAGGAACATTTAGCTAGACAGTGTCTGCTCCAGGAGCTTACGACCTAAGAATATATATATTGTGAAAGATAAGGTAGGTGTTCTATATTTCTATATTGTGAAAGATAAGATAGATGAAATGAAAAGACGTATGGAAGCAAAGAGAAAACAGATCTGCTTCCACAGATGTTACTGAGTGAGCTGAGAACAGGCTTTCTATAGTGTTATATCCCTAGCACCTCAGAAGGATTCCCTAGTCTGTGGAAAGGGATGGGAGTGAGAAGGAATTAATTTGTACGGCAATATTCTTCCTCTTCATGTCCTGGTTACCCTTGCTGCCCACAATCTCCTCTGGCCCATCCCTAAGGAGACTGTGGTTCTTAATGTGTGGCTTCTCCCAGGAATAACTGCGAGCCTACATTTGTGAGGACAAAAATAACCCTTTAAGCCTTCCCCAATGCCAAGGCTGCAGGGGTGGAATAAGAGGCAGAGTTTGTTTGCCATGGGGTGGGGCTTTCCCTGTTGTTCTTTCACAGTCCACTGTCCAAACTCTCTCTCATTCTGTCTGTGCCCAAAGCAGGCCCTGCCTCAACTCGTCTCTCCCAAGCCAAGCTGCATGGCTGCTGGGTGCTGTCAGTCCTGGAGAACCTCTCCCCAAATCCCGTGCCTCTCAGGCTCTGCTGAGGTGGTAGTGCTCATTTGTAAGGCACTGCAATGGCAAGATGAACCCTGTGACCGTACTTGAGCTCTAGGGGTTGAGTTTCAGTTGAACTTAATTTAAGAGCAATTTACAGCTGATTTAAGCTACTTAATGTACCTATAGGATCTCAGCTTGAAAGGGTTCACTTGAACCCGAGGAGTGAAAAGGTCTGCAAGATCCTGGCTCTCTATTCTTGCAGAGGGACTTCCTCCTCTCGTGAGTGCTGGACCAGAACTTTCTAGACACAGGCAGGCAGTGACAACTTTGTGAAGATCACAATTCATAAACCAAGCCCTAGAGGGCTAGGAGAGATCTTAGGGGCATAGAAGCTGTTTTTCTCCTTTTGACTAGCTTCTTGAAACATAGTTTACTGTGTCTACTTTCCAAATTATGAAATTTAAAGAGATTAGTACATTTCTGTTGATCAGGAAAGGGAGGTGAAATTGCAGTAAGGAAAATAATCTGGTTGAGTTTTACTCTGCTAATCTAACACTTGTTTCTCCCTGAGCCTTCTCTATCCTTTGTGCTTATCTCCAATTTCTGATGACAAGAAAAAGACTGGTTTTATTTCAAATTAATGAGGTGGGGATACTCATACTGTAAGAAAGTGTATGCTGAGAAATCATACTGCAGAGTATTTGTGAACAGGCAAAATAAGTGGTTTAACCATGTATGATTCGAGTGGATTCTGCAGATATTTCTCTCCCAGGAAATCCCCATATCCGGGAGTCATTGTTATCAACTCCTGATTTTAGTGTTACTTTTCCCAGATTCCTCTTTTGAAAATGCAAATTCTCCCATAACTATCAAGAGCTGAACGCATTGATATTAATTGGTGGGTCAAATGATTTCCAGCAATGGGAAAAACTCGAGATCTCTGCAGAAAACATACTGAACAGGGAGGAAAGGTTAGCAGTATGAAATCATCACCATCTTTACAACCAAGAGAAGGTTCTTGTCTTTTTAGAGCTCAGACAGTCAGGCTAAAATCTCACCTTGAACGTGAATGTTCCAGAAAGAAAATATGGCCACATTTTCCTAGAGTTAACACTGGTAGGCAGTGTGTTTTCCAGATAGGTTATGATAAAAACAAGCCATTGTGTAATCTCCACTGTGTCCAAGCATCTTTGTAGTCATGGCAATATCCTTAGATATTTACAACCTGACAGCCGGGGAGATGGCTAATAATTTCTTCCCAATAGTCAGAGCTCCTGTGTAAGATGACTGGACTTTTGATGAGTGCAGCATGACTTGACTGGAGATGCTTAGGGGAGATACTAGAGGGAGACTTTGGGGATTACCAGAAACAAGTGGGCAAAAATCACAGCAGTCACTTGAATTCATGTGTGACCCAAGAGTAAACCATATGACAATGATGCTTTTATTTATGGAAATATGTTTTTACTGAAACATTCCTTTCTATTCTTGTCACTTTGCTTTACCCCTTGAGCAGGTCTCCTTTCAGTATAGTCTGTAGCCTGATAGTGGTCCATCTGCAGTCCAAATTACTGCAATCATGTCACTGCTGCTCAAGAAGCTCTTGTAGCTTAGTCTTTCCTACTGTGTTATGCCTTGATTTTTCTTCCACTCCTGCCTAACCCATTCATCCAGATCCAGTCACATGCCTTGCCTTGTGCATCTTCTTATTTATGGGTACCCAGTTTCTCTCCCAACTTTGCCTACTTTATGCCCCTTTCATAAACTATACATTTATTCACCTTGTTTTCACACAGGACATTTCTGCTCCTTGTATGTCTTGCCAAATCATATTTACCCATCAAGTTTAACTTACGTTCCTTGTGATAATGAATCTTGATTGTCAGCTTGAAGGACGTCGTTGACTAGTAAAGCACAGTTCTGGACATGCCTGGGAGGGTTACAGTTGTGCAACTTCAGCTGAACTGGTGTCTGGCTCCTTATTTTGTAGCGCTCTTCCCTGGCTCACTGGTTCCTGGGCACCATGAATTATGCAGCTTCCCTCATCTATCCAGCCCTTCTGTTTCTGTTTTGGAGCTAGCTGACCTTGGACTGAGACCTTTGAAACCATGAACTAAAATAAATTTCTTTAACTTGCAGAGTCAGGTATTTTGTCCCAGCAAAAGAAAAGCTGGTGAATACTTTCTCTCTGGCCTCCAGAATCTTCCTTTGTTAGTCAAGCCTGCTGGATGAATATTTTCATGCTTGATGGGTGCCACACAGCTTTATAGATATGTTGTTAACTTCAAGGGTTAACTGGCAACAGTATTTTATTTTTTTAGATGCTTGAGCTCCTTGAAGTGAAAGTTGTCTTCTATAGGCAACCATAGAAAGAGCTTCATCTCTTTGTGCACAGTCTTTCACCCCTTTTTGTACTTTCCTTTCCAGAGCAGGACTCTGTCTTGATATCACGACCAACACTTGACGTCATTTAACATCAGTCTTTTCAACTGAAAGGCCAGCTCTGTGAAGGCAGTGAGTTCATTTTTACTGTCACACGTGGTACACCCAACGACCATGACAGAATTCAGGATGTTGCACACCCTCAGTAAATGATTCCTCACTGAATGAATGAATGGAGGGGTCCTTATTGATTGACCAACTCACTCCAAAGTGATGGAGATTCATGAGAAGCATGTACATGACTGGCATCACTTCTGAACACAGACCATTGTATGATTCTTTCTTTTCAGCTGGCATCAAGGGGCAAGAATGGCTGGCCTCCAAAGGGAGTGGAGTGATCCATTCTATTGAAATGCTGTATGTTTTTGTCAGAACACCCTTTAATCAAGGAGTACAGACAAGTTGGTTTGCTTCTCCTATAAAATCACTTTTAGTGCTCTGCCTGTCCCTTCATCACTATGAAGTTTAAATGCAATAAAGTATAAAAAGTATTAAATTATAAATCATCATAAAATGGGAAGCATTAGCCGACCATCTGTCTGAGGGAAAGTCTAGAATTAACTAAGGGAGCTAGGGCCCACTAGTATTGAAAATAAACATTAAAAGGCAAGTCTGATTAGAACTCTGAGGGCTGGTAGAGCTTTGCTTCCTGTAAAGACCTTTCTATAATACGTCAAGGTTCTGTAAGTATAGTTTTGTCCTTTGAGAAACACAAAGGATGTATTCCCATGTTTGAATGTTGATTGATGGATTCTGTCCAAAAGAAGCGTTAAGAAGGCTTTCAAAATCTTAGAAATATTGAAAGCAAAGAGACATCATCACCACCACCACTACCGTGGTCAACATCATCAGATCAGAAATACTTGTTGTGGCCTAGTGTTATACAAGAGGTTTTACGATCGGTCTCACACAACCCCTATTCTAATCTTGAAATGAAGGGATCTTCATTACCTGTTAGTCCCTTTTTTAGTAGAGGTAAGGTTTTATGTACAAAGAGACAAAACTCTTTCTATGGGGACCCTTAGCTAGTGAGTGATAGGATCAGGAATTTAATGTGAATTGCTAATGTTCATTGAGACCTTTCTAGACGTCAGTCATTCTCCTAGTACATTTTGCTTAACTCATGTAATACAATTCAGAGATGCAGGCAGTGGTGACATTCTTGTTCTACAGAAAGGGAACTGGGAGGTAGAGATTCTGAGCCAGTCACTCAAGGTCTCATCATTAACAAGGGAAGGGGCTGAGCTCTGAGCTCTGAGCCCAGAAAAAGGACGCTAGGGCCTGTGTGCTTCCTTGATATTCAGAGCAGTCACGCGAGCCCCTGCCCTTTGAACATCCGACTTGCATCCTCACAAGTGATTCACAACAAAAACCAAAACCCTACTTTTGTTACTCTTCATCAAGCCAAATGCAAGAGAACTCAGAACTGAGAAATTGAAACTACCAGAGAACCGGGTAAAAAGAAGCCTGGATTGCTGAGGGGAATCACGGAAAACTGTCTCCAGCTGGAGAAAGCAGATGGCAGGGCAGCCACTATCAGGATGGTGGGGAGCTCTAACAGTCCGTGACTGGGTGGAAGACGGTTTTCAATGTGAGGTTGTGGGTGGGGCCCATGCAGCTGTATGACATGTTCGCTAAAATGGGATTATGGTTTATTGAATAGCAAAGAGCAATACCCAGCTGCCTGAGAATTATACTGACAGGATGCAAAGTCAAGAGAATATTGTATAAACCTTATTTGCAGATCAATAAGTAATCTTCCATATACAAAAGGTCAATTCCAGGCAGGTAGAGCAGTAAAAGAACTATTGCCTACAAATACAACAGTGACTAAAAAATCCACCTGGATGAATACTTTGCTGCGTATTCTTCTAGTTGAAGAACATTTCTTTACTCACAAATATTTTCCCTACCCACTTCAGGTTCCTTGGCGAAGCATGAACACACCGATGAAGAGCACTGATTTCTAGTTGTCCTGAATTCTGTGCCATCAAATGAGCAGCATGAAGAGGAATCAACACAACATTTCTAAGTTTGTGCAGCAATTAGGATGCTCAAGTATAGCCAAAATTTGAACAGCAATTTACCCAAAGCCTTTTCAATCTCCTCCTTTGGTGGCTTTGCTGCTAAACATTTATCCCGACTTAAGAAACAAAACAACCTTGATAACTCAGTCCTCCTTACAGCAAGCCCAACCTGAAACTTTTTGCTGCCCAGGAAGTTTATATTCATAATCGATGGAAAAGTTATTGGAGTTCTAGCAAGTTAATTCCAAATCTACCACTTTCAAAGCAACCCATGGTGAGAATAAAGACACCAAGGCATATTTACAGTCATGGGGAGCCAAGAAGTCCTAAGTCCTGCTGGATTGATGCTTAGCTGGAATGAAGACTTCAACCCAGGGCCAAACTTGGGTTTTGTTCACTCATGAAGAAGGAAGTGGCTCAAGGAGAAGTGATTGTGAGAATGGCAGGAAGTATGAGAGTGCTGTGAGCTGGGCTAGGTGGGAAGCCTGAAATTTCCTCTATCACAGGCAGAAAGAAGCATATGCAGAAAGAGTAATCTTGAGGTAGTATCTAATGTTTTGGGGTTGGCACTTCAGCTCTGATGTGTAATCTGTTGTGCACCAGGAAGTCGTAGTCTCTTATTTTAAGGTTCCATTCCTGCTGATAGTGTGGAGCCTCTTCCTCAATGTGTTTTTGGGAGTCACAGGGCAGGGAAGCATAGAGCCACCTCCTTGCTTCAAAGACTACACAACAGCACCTTGGCCAGACTGATTTACATTGCTTCAAGCCAATTGAAGGGATAGGGCAAGGTCCTAGCCAGCTTTGTACATATCAATACACAGAAATAGATCCAAGTGTAGCCAAAATGGAGATAACTGCTCTTCTTTCAAGGAGAATCCTCTGGGTGGTCCTCCACACTTCCTGGTCCCCACTGGATTCCTTCATGCATTTTGTGTTTTTTCTTTGCCTTGCAACAAGGAGTTAGTCATCCCAAAGCATATCTGAAATTTTTGCCATCTGCCTCTTCTGGGCAGCTAGATCATGAACTGGTTATGACTGGGCTCAGGTATAAATTAGCATGAAGGAAGGGGCACTATGGAATAAACTGGGTCCCTTCCACTCCAAGATTCCCATGTTGAAACCCTAGTCTTCATGATGACTATATTTGGAGACAGGACCTTGAGGAGACAGTTAAGTTTAGGTGAAATAACAAAGGTGGGACCTTAATTCTATAGAATCAATGTCCTCGCAAGAAGTGATGCTGGGGACTCACTCTTGCTTACTCTTTTGAGTGCCTGTGCTCTCTGCCATCTGAGGTGAGAGAGAAGGTGACATCTACAAGCTAGGATGAGACCGCTTACCAGGAACCAAACTGGCTGGTATCCTGATGTTGGACTTCCCAGTCTTCAGAATTATCTGAAATAAACTTCCTTTGTTTCCACTGCCTAGTCCTTAGTTTGTCAGAGCTGACTAATACGAGATGGAAAGTTAACTGGGCATTACTTCCCTGATACAATCTTTCAAATTACAGGACCAACTGTGACATCATGAGACCTCTCTGAGGGCTTTGGAAAAGTTCCAAAGGTCTACTACTGTTGGAGCCCTGCTGGGCTTGACATCAGAGGCTAGCTGTGCTCACATCCACAGATACAATGTGCCCCGTGCTGGAGAGAGCGCATGGCTGGTTTCTCCTTGTCCTGAATGAGCAGCACGAAGTGGAATCAACACTTCTGTCTGCGTGAGAAGTCAAACGGCTTCATCTCGGCTTTGTACTGGGGTCCGCACAGCAGAAGATGGGAAGGATGTTGGGCACTATGGATTATATAACTGCTCTGGGCTGAATGTTTGTGTCTCCTTGGGTTTATAAGTTGAAGCTTTAACTCCCAATGTGATTGTATTTAGAGGTAGGGCATTTAGAGGGCAGTTAGTGTGAAATGAAGTTGGGATCTGCATGATGAGTGGGATGAATGCCTTTTTAAAACGAGGAGGAGACACACGATCTCTTTTTCCTTTCCATGTGCAAACATCAAAGCAAAATCATGTGAGGATACAAATGGAGGATGAGGACCACTGCCTTTATCAGGAAGAGGATCCTCCCCAGGGGCTGACGGTGCTAATGTCAGACGTCCATCTTCCAGAACTACGAGAGAGAAATTCTCTGTCAAATTCATCCAGGCTGTGATAACAGCTGGAACTGACTAAGACAACAGCAATTTATTTTTCACAGCAAAATAGGAGACTGCTTTGACAATGACATAATCCCTTCCAAATTCTTATTAGGTTTTATTCTTTCCTCCATTAGACAGCAGCTTTGAAATGTCTCAGTAGCTGAGAAATAACTTTCTTTCAGAGAAGAAAGTGGCTGAATCAGTCACCTCCAGTTTTCTGTGAAGTAGCGCAGGAGCCAGAGGGGATTGAGGACTTTTCTTCTCAAAGTGAGGAAAGGATACCTGAACTGATGACAGGTGACACAGATTCAGCCTCTCCTAGGGTCAAAGGCATAAATTTGTCTCTTTTGTTCTCCTATCTCCCACGTCCCCTGTGGGACCCTGCTTTCTGTGCCACACCCTTCCAAGTTTCTCCTCCACTGACGATTCTCCTTAGGAAGAATGAATGATGCTGGCCACGGATGTGAACCACACATGGGATGGAACCCTACATCCTTTGGTTCCAAACTTCGCCATGGCCCCTCATTCCTTATCTACTAGCTCCGGTCACCGTTCCCAGACATGATGTGCTTATTGGGGCTATGAGAATGTGTGCGAGGAGCCCCTTTTCTTCATGAGCTTGTCCTCTACAGGAGCAGTTGGCCCAGTCACAGGGAATCATTTGTGAGGGGAGAAGGGAGGTGCCCTGGGAGTTCTTTTCCACGTGCTAGAGCCCCTCTATCCTGTTATTGAAGGCTGTGCCCCCACATTTCACTCAGGCACATTCTTAAAGTATGGGGAAAAAAGGAAGAAGAAAAGGAAGGGAAAGAAAAAGGAGTGAAGCAATGAAAAAAACCAGCTGGGTACAGACGCTAGTAAGTTTAGATTCATCTACTTATTTATAGTCTTTACACCAAAACTTTTTTTTTTAAACAGGCATAGGCTTGCTTGATTTTCATAACAATATGGGAACTGAGGTTCAGAGCAGGTAGGTTCTGTAGTTAATAAATGTCAGTGTCCTCTCTGGATTTCAGTCCTTCTGCCTATGGATGCAGTTTTTTTTTCTCTTTCTCTCCTGTATTCCTCCATTAAATACAAAGGTATATTTCACCCTGCTCTTTTGGAACCCAAGTCAGACTTTCTAGAACAACTAAAGGTTTTAGCAATTATGAGAATTCTCTGTTCAACCTTTACTAGAATTTACCTGGTAGACTTTGATTCATCGACTAGAAATAATCATCCTTCAAATAACTCAATTAATTTTTAGTCCTGTGTAGTTTATAAAATACTTTCATCCATAAGATACACAAGACGTGTATCTCAGAAATCCAATGAGTGGCCTGATTGTGCAACTAGAAAATTAGGTAGGGTCAGGATGAGGTCCTACATTTTCTGATTGAAGGTGATACTTTCTCTGTTTCTGCATTTCCTCCACAGTATGTGCTCAGCCAGGTTAGCCTCTGCAGAGAGCGCAGTGAGGTCTCTATTCCTAAGGAACAAAGTCTACTTAGGAAGCGAAGCCTTATTTAGCCTGGATATAGACAAAATTGTAACTCCAGTCTCTACATGGCAGGTGACACGATTTTCAGGCTGCAGTGTAACAGAAAACACTTTTTTTTCTTTTGAAAAGTGGCATCATTTCTCCACGTCTTATATTTAGGCTGGTTCTGCGAATGTCTATAGCTAATAAATTGCACCAGAAGAAATGCTAAGCTTGGGCTTTTCTACTGTCTTCCTTGCATCCTCTGGATTGCCATAAAAATAAGGCGATGCTAGCTGCATAGAAATAAGCATCACTTAGAGGAAGCTGAGTGATTCCTACTGAGACCATTCAGATCAGACAGCCCTCGACTGACCTGCCATCTAACTACAGATGCTCCAGTGAGCTTAGCTGAGATCATTCATAGCCCACATCAGCAGAACCATTGTGCTGATCAAGGCACAAACAGGTGAGAAATGATTCATGATTGTGCTTTAAGCCTCTGTCTTTGGGAAGTGGTTGGTAATTCATGATTATTGTGTTAATAGATAAAAAATACACAGATATTATTATTTTCATTGTTGGTATGGTTGATACATTGAGAAGTTTAGAAGTTTAACTAAGAGACTCAGCAGGAAGCCAGGATCCTTACTTTGTTAATATCCTCATTCTGTGCAAGAGGAGGGCACAGAGATTTTGTGAGTGCTACACCCGCCCTGGAAGAAGAGGGTGGGTGGGTGGCCTGTGCACACTACAAGGGAGGAAAAGAGGCTTGTGCTTCCTCCTTTTGCTCTGTCTGGTGCCTTGAAGTGTTGCCCCAGTGCCATGCCAACCTATCTTGGAGCCAGCTGATTACAGACTGAAACCTCCACAAACAGTGAACTGAATAAACCTTTCCTTCCTTCATGTTGGGTCTTGTGTTGGGTGTTTTGTCCCAGCAATGAAAGAAAAATAACCAGGACAGTTGTCTTGATGAAGAAACAGACTATAAGAGGCTGAGTCATTGCCATGATCAGACACTAGTAAATCCACCCAGAAAGTTTGCCCCAGCATCCAAATTCTTGTCTGTTATTTGTGAGACCTCACTGTAACACTCAAGCCCTCAGCTAGTTTGCAAGGAATTTTAGTGAAGAAAGAGGTGATTTTACTGACAGAGGCAAACCCAAAGGATGGAACTCAAATCCCAGGATTCCTTTTGCTGATCAAATAATATGTTATTAAAAACACTTTAAAAAATTTAAGCTATTATGCTCACTTTGGCAGCATATATACTAAAAAAAACCCTGTAATCTGTCAGAGAAAAAATTGCATAAATGTAAAATAAGAAAGAAAATATCACTGAAGTCAAGGTCACAAACTAAGCCATTGAAAGAATTTTGGGTGTACCTTATTAGCACTAAGTTATGACTGAGTTTTGTGAGAGGACTATATGACAGCCACATTAATGCAAATGCAATTCCTTGTTCCTATTTTTGCAAGTGAAAACAAAATGCAGTTATATTAGTGGAATTTGCTTATTAAAGTAAACTAAAATATACCGCCAAGTGCCACCCCATCTCCATATCTACTCCCTATTTCTTGACAAAGAGCAATTATTCCCCACAGTAGCCTTGGAATGTTTTATTAAAATAAGAAGGCATAATTTGATAAGAAAGGGAATGCCAAAAAATATGAATTCTTACAGATATCGGAGATTTGGAAGGTTCTGGAAAGCCTCAGGATTGATGTACAGCAGGTTGTTAGCCTTTTCAATTCTACTATAAAAGAGGAAAGTACATGTGAGTACAAGGAATGTTTTCACATTTTTCATGTTATGAAAAGTACTTCAGTAAAACATTAATTTATTCATCTATCCATCCATCTGTCCATCCATCATTTGAACAAATATTGAGCAAACATACAGCATTTTTTCTTATGCTAACTGTGCATATTAATGTTAATGCTGTGCCGTGAGATGCTCCTCACTTGGGACCTGCCTACTAACGTCATTTTTACCTGGAACAGAGTTGTCTTTAGCCAGTGCAGCTCTCCCAGAGTTGGAGGGCAAGGGATGAGAGTAACACTTAGAACTGAATTTTGTCTGTGCCAAAGACAAGAGAGGAGATGAAAAGCAACCAAAGAGGATGAAAAGAAGATGAGAGAGAGTAGCAAAGAAGGTGGGACATGGAGAAATAGGTGGGATGGAGAAATAAAGGTGAAATGGCAATGAAAAATGAAGATTAGAAAAAAAAAAAAAACAGTATCTCTTTTTTTTCTAACCGGGAAATTCCAGCAGAGAGCAGCTAGGAAGGTCACGCTGTAGACCAAGGCTGCTTCCTCTCAGTGCAGGGGAAGTGGTGACTTCTGCCCTGTGTTGGCCTGTGAAGCAGTATGTCAAATCAATTGTCTGGATGTGAGTGTGTTCGCAGTTAAATTCCAACAGAGACTGTGTCTTTTGCTCATCTTGTTGGATCAATGTATATTTACAGATACTTTTTTTAATTGCTTGCTCTCCATTTCGTTAATTTCTATGTTGCTGTAACCTGAAGGTATCCTGATCCAAGTATCAGACAATCATTTTAAACATAGCTGGTGTTACCTGAGGCTCTCCATGCAAGGAGGAGATGAATGAGCTACTCTGGTTCCCCTCTTCCCTCTGAACTGGATGGAGGGAGGCCTGCCTGGCTGTGTGTAAAGGGCTGGCTGCTCTTTGGTGTGTTTCCCTGATATACCCCTGCGCTTCTGAGACCCCAGCCAGTCTCTTTGCCCAACTAGGACAGAAGGAGACCAAGAGTGAAGAGGGAGTAAAGAAAGGAAAGATCACGAGGATAGTGACAATGAAGAAAAACGAGGACCAGATGGTGGGTGGGAGGGCGGATGGATGGGTGAGGAAACAGAGTCTGCCGAAGTGGGCAGACAGAGTGCTGTTCCTGAGCAGGCTCCTGGACACACGTGTGTGTACACATACACTTACACCTACTGGTATTTGAAAAATGCTAAAAAAATTCCTTATTAATAAAGAAGTTTTAAAAAGCCATGAACTTTATGATTAAGTCTTTACTCTGCTGTAGGTTTGGCGGGGTGGCTTCAGACAGGCCTGACAACTTCTCTGTGCGTTTCTCTGTGGCTCATCTGTAAAACCAGAAGAGTGCCTCACTGAATGTGTCCCACTGGGATTGTGTGAGAGGGTAATAAATGCTGCAAAAAGGAAATTCTGCCAGTGATGTTAGCAGAGAAACAATGCATTACTTGTATTTTCCAAATATGTATTAGCGTGAAAAATTTTGAGTTTTCCTCCAGTAAGTGAACTTTAACTTAATTTGGCCAGTGTTTGCTAATCTTATTTACTTATTTATCTGTCTTTTGGGGGTACTGCAAATCAAACTCAAGACCTCACGCTTGCCAGGCAGGCCCTGTACCCCTGAGATGTATCCCTGGCCCTTCTAATCTTATTTTTTAATATAATTATTCTCAATTTTTAGGAAATCTCATATTTTGGGGTTCTTAATGATGCACAGAAAATACTTTGGAAAATTATGGATCAGCCTCTTGCAGCCTATTTTGTGGCTTGATGAATTAATTTGCAATAATAACATTCTAGTGTGAAACAGAAGTATATCTGTGTGAGTGCTGCATGTTTGTAAGATGTAAGGTTGGAATACCAGCAAGAAAAAAAATTGGTTGAGTAGCAGAGGAATTAAGGTTCATTATAACACAGGCATTTTATGCCAGTTGATAGGCTCAATTTAATTTGCACTTATCATTTCCCCTACCCACTATAGTCACTCCATAAAGCATATATTTTATTCTGGTTTTATAAATGAGAAAGCCAAATCTCAGGTGACTCTGTCTTGGCCAAAGTTCTGTGGTGAGCTTGTGGTACAGGCTGATATTCAGACAAGGACTATCCACCAATTCATTGGCATCAGTGTGGGATTATTTTAGGAGTTGATGCGGAAAGGCTTTGAGTGAGATGAGGAAACAAAAGACTTTCTCACAGTCTCAGGGCAAGGTGCTTGAGTGTAGTGTGCAGCGTGTGTGGGAGACAGTGAGCGGGAGTCTAGGCTCTGGGCTGGTGCCTGGATTGCCAGGAAGAGACACACAGGCATCTCTTTCAAGGTGACTTTCACAATGTGTAGTGATAGCTTAGGATCAGAGGACACAGCAGAACCAGGCTTTCCCAAGAATAGCAGAGAACTTTAAAGTTATCATGAGACAGTTTCCCAGCTTTCTTGCTTACATTTCGTGTAAGTTGGGCAGGTTGGAGAACACATCCGCCTCTATCACTTCCAAGGCATCATTCTGAGAGATCTCTCTGCAGAGAAACAAACAGAGTTCAGGACAGCCCAGTTACAGTTCACACATGCTTTTAGGGCTCAGCTAGCGCCTTGTGCCAGGAAGACTCAGGAGACACAGATCTCCTTTTGGATCCTCAAAGAGGTTAGCTGTAGCTACAGAACAAAGCTAATACTCGATGCTAATAACTGTGGGAAAATAAATTCAAAGCAATGGCTCATTGTAGAAATTCTCAAACCTACAGATACAGAAACAGAGATGAGACTTGATTAAACATATTTAGGAAACCTAGATGATGAAACCAAACTTTAAGTTCTCTACACCAAGGGTCAGCACACTTTCTCGACTAGTACCGAAAATAAGTATTTCTTGGTGCTGGCAGCATTTGATCTCTGTCATATCTACTCAGTGGACACTTCAGTACCAAAGAACCCATATTTAACACCTCCATGGGTTGGCTGGGTTCCTACTAAGCTTTATTTACAGTGCGGGTGGTGAGCTGTACTTGGATGGTAACTAGAGACATCTGGGGCTTGTGAACCCCCAGCGGTGGCAGGGGTATCTTTTACAATCCCTGTGAAGATGCATTTTGTGAGATAAAAATGCTGCTTATTCTACAAGAGCATGGAAGAAGGCACTTATTTGAATGTTTAAAAGTTTCCAGAGAAACAGTTGTCTGTGTGGAGACCAACGCAGAGCAGAGACTGGGGAAAGAGGAACTTAAATCTGAACAAGACCAGGAACTGTTTCAACAATAGGTTTGGTCACCACTCATGGCAATCACAAAGCTTAATATTAGAAGAGATTTCTGCTATCTGATTTCGGGTATGAGAATTCTCTTATCTGTATTTTCCCCTCAAAGGATGCACAAATTATTAGAATAATCAAGAAAAGTGTTTATTTCAAAAGGGAGTTCATATTTTAATAGTCTCAACTTGAAAGACAAAAAGGGCATTGGGGTTGTTGGGGGCACCTAGGAGGATACGGGGTAGAAAAACACATCACTGAGAAATTCGGAGATTCTGTTGCGCTTCCTCACAGTTCCTTACCGCTAGTTATTTCTGTTGTCACTGTCAGCTGTTTATTATTTACCCGCTGCTTTGCAGACATTCTCTCCAATGCTTTTGGCACATGTGTGAAGCTGGACTTTTGGTCTATTAAGAAATGGCTTTGCCTGTGTGGAGCACTGTTCTGGCAGGCAGCAGGCTCACACGTTTCCCTTGACAGGCTCTGCCTCCCAGGTCATCTCAGAGACCTCAGAGGACCTGCAGTTCTTCAACATAAAATGAGGGGTGAGATGAGACAACTCATCCAGCCAGCCCTTCCAGAGCACTGCGGTCAGGCTTTGTCCTCAAGCATGGGCCTCTGCAGATACAACCTTCAGTACAGAGCTTCTCAACTGTGAGAGCACTGCCAGTCACCAGTAGGCACTATCTGAATTGTTAAAATAGCGCTTTCCACTAGAGTGACCAGGAGTGCAGCATGGGTGCTGGTCTCAAGACCATACTTGGGCTAACGGAGGAAAAGTAATAACATTCGACCTGTCTTAGTTACTTTTCTCTCTTGACACCCAAAGTTAGGGAGGGGAAGGTTTATTTCTCACAGTTTGGGAGCTTTCAGTCCATACTCAGATGGCTCCAAGCAGCACGGTGGCATGGCAGGGCCACCATTCATGGGCATGGCAAACAGCAAGGTGTGAATGCCAAGGGAGAGGGAGACACCATCTTCCGGTTGATACATGGTATCCTGGCTCCACCTCTGGGTGGGTGAAGCTCTCACACCGCCAATCCTAGTGCTAGACAATGAACCAATCACAAAAGCTAGATTTGGTAAGCCTATGACTGCATGAGGCTCGGGACTGGGCCGTAAGAACACAAACCACCACACAGTTTTCTCCCTAGCATACACACAGGTGAGTATCAACAGTAGGACACAAGAGCCTAAAAACAACAGCTCAAGTGGAGTATAGTACTTGATAAAAAAACAATTTGCATCTCCTCTGAAAAGTCTTTATCATCACTGAAGTTTTTCTGTCCTCATAAGATACTTTTCACTGCTCAGTTAGAGTGATAGCTACATTATTATGTTACTGCTTTGTTTTCCTGGCCATTTTCTGACTTCTGAACCTGACTTTGGTTTCTGGAAGATCTCTTATTCATCTGTCTCTGGATCTCCAATATCTAGTGGTGGTATGCATTTAAGGCTCAGTAAATGGTGGGCAGGTAGAGGAATGGATGGGTAAGTAGATGTGTAAAATGTCCAGGTGTGTGAATGGCACCTGCTAAACTGCAAACGGAGTTGGAGTTTGTCTGCAGTATCCTTTTCTTGTTAACAGCATATCCAAGTTCAGCAAATGACAGCCAAGCCTCCCGTGTCTATGACTTAAGACTTCTGTCTTGGAGATTTTTTTTAACGTACACAAGCTGCACATATATTTGGCGGCTGAGTACCTTTATCCCCATGACTCTGTGTCACAGCTGTCCCCAGCTCCTCTGCCTGCCAGATAAGGACCTTGAAGTGATAGAAGAACCAGCGAGGGTAAAGGAAGGAGAGTGCTGGTGACTGTAGGCGTTTAGATGACATTTGTTGGGGGTTAGAGAAGGTGATTGAAAGTTCCTCTGTGCAAGAAATTCCATGTTTACATGAAGGAAGGGGAGATGAATATGCAGAAATACCAGGGTTTATCAGAGCATGCTTTCTGGGTGGGTTCCCAGGGGCTATCAGTTCTTCAGATCTGCATTATTCTGTGTTATTGGATTGGAGGAGTAGTCACACATAAGCACATTTAAAGGAGAGGTGGGTGAATTATTCTCTAGCAAGAAGAACTTTAAGACATAAATGAACACAGTCCAGCCCAAACTTTATTCCTACCACGTGTGACATTAACATCTCACCAATTGTTGGTATTGTTTCATTTTAAGTGGAGATGCTCCAAGTTTATGGGTAGGATTAAGAACAGCTAAAGAGCTGTGACCAGTGGTGAAAGACCTCGCTAGCATTTCAGTGATGTGGCACACAGGATGCAATAAGAAATTAAATGCCCCTGCTGTGGTTGGGATGTGGCCTCCATGTGTCCACCAGAGGTGTTTATGGTGGTGCGTAGAGGTGGTGGGAACTGGAAGGACCTTGTGGGGAGCAGTTGGGTGGTGACTGCCCGTGCAAAGGGATTAATGCTGGTCTCAGACAGTGGGTTAGATCTCACAGGAGTGGATTAGTTCCCTTTAGAGCGTGCTGTTATAAAAAACTGAACGTGGCCCCTCCCCAGTCTTGTTCTGGCGCTGGCCGGTGGCTGGTTCCTTTTCTGCTTCTCTGTCATGCTTCGGCACAGCCAGGTGGTGGCGCCATGCAGTGTAGACTTTCTTGCCCAGCAAGTCTTTTGTCACCCAGGGCCTGGTTTGCTATCGCGCCGCATGAAATGGACTGACTCACAAAAATTATATTTCTGGTGCAGGAGATATTTTCTAACTGATCGTCTCCATTATTTTTCTTCCCCTTCACTTCTCCACAGAGCATTTTTTCTTCAACATAGCGAACATACTTCTTTCTGAATGGGTACATTAGGGGATTGAATTACATTAAATTATTTGTAACTGTCACTGTATTAAATTTCTTCCTTTTGTTCTTAATAACCGCAGGCAAAATGTCTTTGGCTGTTTTCCCCACCTGAGTCCTCTATAGTTTAGGAGACCATGCACTCTGTCACAGACGCTCACATATTACACTGGGTTTGTATTCTGCAGA